GAGAGTGGAGTGGGTGGGAAGGGTGCCTGGCCCCAAAAAGGGGGACATTCTGGCTGGGCAGGGCTGTGAGCCCCTGGGAAAGGTCCCTGCGGTCAAAAGCTGGCATTGGGGACAGCGAGGACACTGCCTTGCTCTGCTGCATCCCTGTTTGCTGGGCCAAGGAGCCCAGGCGGGAGGGTGGGTTGGAGCCCAAGCATCCCGGAGGATCCCAGGGACCACCGTGCACAGGGGCTGGCAACACCCACCCGTCTCAACGTGTCCTGACAGGGCGGGGGGGAAAGCGCTGACCACAGAAAACCACAGCAAGTCCCAGGATCACACCCCAGAAAGCCAGATCCGCACCGTGAGGTGCCCGGAGCCGACACAAAGCCATGCCCCCCACAACCCCCCCAACAAGGAAGCTCACGGCAGGGGCTGACGCTCGGAGAAGCTGCCTGGGACCAGTTCAGGGATGTGTACTGGCGGGGGGGTGGGGTGGAGGGAAGCATGAGGGCACTCGTCAGCTCTGCTTGCGTGCGGTGAACTTTACAGAGTACAGCCGTGCCCCGGCATAGGAACGATCTGGGAATGGGCCAGGAAAGAGCAGCGCTCGCAGCCCACAGGTTGCGGAGCCACAGGGAGTCGGCTGCTGTTTAGCAATTTATTAAAACGAACATGAAGAGCCAGCACCCGCTTCGCATCGACTCGTACTCTCCCACGGGGAAACTGCTGCCAAAGGAAAACTCAAACAGCAGTAAATGAATTTCAACGAGGCAGGTCTCAGTCTGCTCCGTGGACATAACAGACCCTCAGATCCAAAGCCAAGGGTGACCCACAAGTGATGATCGCAGAAATAGAAGGCAGGAGGGAGGGCAAGTAGCCAGCTGAACACCTAACCCATGTGAAATGAGATGGTGTCTGTTCGCCCCTGAGGCAGATCTAACACATTTCCATTAAATCAACGTGAAAGAAGAGGAAACCCCATGCCTAAATTCAGATTAGCCAGGGCTGTGAGCTTGGAGGGGATCAACCTGGGGACACCTGCTAGTAGAAACCGGTCTAGAGAGGCCACCTACTCCCCTGGTGAAAAGATTGTCCTGGAAGACATTGAAGTGTCTAAATTCACTGAAGTCCCACTGTACAGACCCACAGGGGGACAACAAGGTCCTCGTCCCCTCCATGGGCTGCAGCCACATGAGGGGAGCGGTCCCATCCCACAGGCACAGCTGGTGGGTAAGAACCTGAGCAGGAAGAAAGGAGAGGGGAGACAGTGCCAGAAAAAACCAAACCAAACAAAACAACAAACCCCTACGTTCACCTTGGGAAGTCTGCGAGGAGACTCCTCATCCCACCGTCTGCATTCAGCTGGCAAAGCTCATTAAAAGAGGTGGCCTTTCCCTGCCCTTTTCAAACCTGGAAATTCAAGCCTCTTCCATGACAAAAAGAGAAGGTGAATTAAGAGATGAAATGCTGGAGGAGGAGGTACACCAGCCCTCCAAACCCAGCTACAACCGTGCCAACCGCCAGCCGTACCCAGAGGAAATCCAGGGAATCCTCCAGGTGTGAATGAAGCCTCAGGACCTGCCAGCGCGTGTTCTCCCAGTCCCCAGAGTTGTCAATGACGTGACTCGCTAATTTGTACTTCTCATCCAACGGCAGCTGGGAAGCGATGCGAGCTTCTGCCTCCACCTGGGGCAGCCCGTTCCTCTTCATCAGCCGAGAGAGCTGCATCTGTGGGTCGCTGCCGGGATGGGAGAGCGACACTGAGATGGGGGAAGAGGGGGTTTGCCTGCCTTCCCCACCACAAGGGGGAAAAGCCAGGGTAAAGTGTGGGGGAGAAATGCTCCATGTTTCATTTCGGATCCAGGGCAGGCATCTTGCACTCAGATCAGTGGAGTCAGCACCCGCAGCACTGCCCAGGCTGACGCCGCTGTGTGTTTTCAGCATTCCCAGAGCCCATAACACCAGGGCAGTGCCCCAAAGCCTGCCCCAGTCAATGAACCATGGGTTGTGGAAGGCCCAAAGACAGCGATTTCCCCTGTATGATGGTGCCAGGTTTCAGAGAAACCTCAGCAAGAAGCCCCTCGTACCCTAGAAAGAAAGTGTTGCTTCTCACACCTACAGAAAACAAGCAGCATTATCGATAGGTTCTGCACCAGGGCTGCAGCTAAATCCTCACCAGAGCGGGAAGGATGTGACAGTCCCCTCTAGCCTCTAAGAGAGGTGACAGCGTCCCCGTCCTCATGGTTCACAAGGCACTTACCAATAAACCAAAACCGTGTATTTCATAAACTTGATCAGTCTTTTAGTCTCGAAGAGCAGAGGGATGTCGAGGATGACGTAGCGGTAGCCTGCAGAAATGACAAGACCCCCCTCAAAAAAGGGAACAGCGTTACTCAGATTCCCCAATCCCTCGTGCTGCACGCACACTGCGGCCACAGCCGCTCCAGCAAAGCAAACGGGAGAGCTCTACAGCTCCACGATTACAGCCGAGAGGACAGCAGAGCCTGTTTGCCCTTCTCTCTCTCAGAGAGAGAAAATGGTTTCGTTCCAAGTTTCCAGAGGGGAAGGAAAAAAAAAAATACCAACCCCAACAACAAAAAAACCAACCCTAACCTGGATGATCTCAGACCAAAGGTGAAGCTGTAGAAATATAATGAGGAGCTGAAACAAGAAGCTCAAATGAAAGTGCCTGTGCCTGGCTGGCAAAAGCAGCAGCCACGCCGTTGTTGCTGGCCTCTCCAGGGGAGCAGTGCCCACAGCAGAATTTGCTCTCCTCTCTTTCACTTGTCCAAGACTTCATCAGGCTGCGGTCATTTGAGCTGCTGTTTCCCAGCTCAGTTTTTCTTCCCTTTAAGGAAAGCTTTGGCTAAACAGTTCCATTTTTCCAAGAGGAGCAAAAAATCCTTGCAGACTTCTCACAGCTGTGACACCGAAATGCAAGAGTGCTTGCAGGTACAGGCCCAGGGCCTGAAACCTCACCAAAACTGCCCAAGTTCGGTTTAAAACCACCGTCACCGCACAGAGGAGAGCTCGACCGTCAGCCACCGTCCTCCCACACCCTGCGACCCACCCCAAGTTCTCCACGTGCCTCTGCCCTTTACAAGCGCCAACTCCCCCGGCAGACGGCAGCATTTGGGCACGTGGGGGTCCACCCTGATGAGCCTGGGGGAGCAGGCAAGGGTAGGGAAAAGCTGTAAGTCAAGATCTCACTCCCCTGTGTGTCCCCCAGCTCAGGGGACACCTCTGGTTTCGCTGGTGTCCCCTTTTTATAACTTGAACCCCCTAACCAAGCTGGCCACGGCAATAAAAGCCTTGACAAAGACATCACCGTCCAACAAGCCACCATTTCACCAGCATCTCCGCCCAGGGAGACTTCTTGCTGCCCTACAGTTTGATCGATAAGAGCTTTTCTTACACAGCGATCCTTAGAGACGACATCCAGCTATCCCAAATCATTAAAACCTGACTAATGAGGACAAAGCAGCTGGCTGAAGACACACGGTGCTCTCGCTGAGGCATAGGACAGCATCCGCCTGCCGAGCCCACAGCCTCAGGTTCAAGACTCCATCTCTGGCTCCTGGCTTTCCTGCCTAGTGCTTCCTTCGTGCTTTCTCCTCCTCCTCACCCCGCAGCAGAGCAAGCCTCCAGGGTGCCCCAGCACAGGCCTATTTAGCTGTCACAGGGCTCAGCTTTGATAAGCTCCGCAAAAACCAGACTGACTCTATTAAGACATCTTTCTGTCTACATGGAGACCTCCAAAACAGCTGGTGATCTTATCTGGCATTTGATTAGACCAAGTTTGACAGCTGTATTTGTTACATTTACCAGGGGAAAAAGCTGGACTTTGGAAACCACAGCTGTCAACCCATTTCTCACCTTATCGAGACTAAAAAGGGCTCTGCAGCTTTCATTGAAGCCTGAGGAGGTTGGGGGGCAGGGAAGAATATTTGGCCGTTTCGGAAGGTATGACATTATCCAGCAAGTAATCTCAAAAGAGGCCTCACAATGCTTTTCTCAGGCCCTACAGATGCACTTTAAACCATAGAAGAAGAAGGTGGCGAAGGGCAGCAGTGAAAGGCAGGAACGAATCCTCCAAACGCCAATGTGAAAGGCCACCGGCGGCAGAGCACAAAGGCCGTCACTCAACGTCGGTTCCCTTTCTCCTTTCCCATCCCTCTCCCTGCTTTAAAACCAAAGGCAGGGCAAGCAGGGATAGCTCCTGCCTGAGCAGGAGTCCTGGTGCGCTGGGACACAGCCTCTTACCTAGCACAAAGTACTTCAAGATCTGCTTCACCATCTCCTTTTGGATCTCCGGGTGGGTGATGGAGTTCAGGAGCTGCCGTTTCTCCGGGTGGAAGAAGATAATGTTTCCTAGAGCCTCACGATTTATCTCTCCGTTCTCCAAGAGGATCTCAGTGCCAAAGTAACGCACTATCTGCTGATAGGCCTTCAAGTGGGGCTGCACCACTGATAACATTAAACAGCTGGAGGTTAGAGCCAGTTCTACAGCACAGTCGGTGTTTGCATCAGCGATCAGCCTCAAATGAGTTTTGTTCATTAAATAACCGAGCTTATTCTCCTCGGTGGGCAGCACATCTGCCTGTCAGCAGACGCCTGAACCACGACCGGCGCAGCTCAGCACTGCAGACACCTGGTATTGGTGCTGCAGGAAAGTGTCTGTAAAAAAAACCCTCTCAGCCCAAGGTCCCTTTCAGGGCTGACACCCGAGAGATCGAAGCATCCTGCAAACATTAATTCAGCGCCACAACCCTCCCTCGTGCGTGCTGCTGCCCGGGGTTAGAAGTCAGCAGGGCAGGCGGGAGGATTCACTGACAACTTCCAGCCAAGGCATCGGTAGGAACAGGGGCTGAGCCGATTCCCACTGCCTGCAGGGTACGGAATCAAGCAGGGAGATCCTAAAGGGACCGGGACCAGCATCAGGTTTATTTTAGCTGAAAACTTCAGCGCTAGGTGAATAGAGCCTGGCTGCTAAGAGTTGGCTCTGGCTACTACTAAGGTTTTGGGCTTTTTTTTTTTTCCACTGTCTTTCACCTCAGTCACCAAATTTTTCAGGAGAATGAACACAGAAACCTTCTAAGCGATCAATTCTCAACAGATATTTGCAGGGACTCTGACGTTACACGAGCGTATAATTTTAAAGTCACCCAAAAAAATCACCAACAAAAAGGATGCAGTAATAAAACCATAATTAAGATCAAGCTGAGGCTAACCACAGAGAATGACAGACCATATATAATTTTCTCTCCAAAATCCAGGAACATTGCCACAGGTTGTAACCTCAGGCCAACCTAATAAAAGTCTTTAAGACCAATTTCTTTCTCCCGTGGAATTTCACATCGAGGCAGTTTCAGGATGGGTGAAATCCATACAGTAAACAAACACATATAAAAAAGGAATTGAAGAAAAATGAAGCGATTGGTAGAGAACTGACACTGAGTATCTGTAGTGTTTTCCTATCGTCTCTGAGGGCTTTTAGCACCTCCAGCAAATTTTCTGCACCTCGAGGGGAATTACAGTGCAATAAAATGTTAAGAGCATCAGGGCTTTGAGTGACTACACGGTAAGTTCTTCACCAAATACAAAAGCGCAGGCACTTCAAAATGACACCGCCTGCACCACCGCTCGCCTGCAGACCCGAAGCCTTCTGCATACAAAATCAGCAGCCCTTCCTAGAGCAAGCGCCGCTCTCCTCCTGATCCCAGTGGTATGGAGGGATTAACGTCTTGCCCCGTATTGCACAGGTAATCGGGGAGAGCAGGGTCTGTTCAGTCCTGCTGAGGCAACAGATCTGGATTTTTGGGTCTTTTCTGTAGCCAGGTCTGCACATTTTGAGAGCAGTGAGAGGCAGGTATGCTGTGCAGAAGCACAGACCAAATTCCCTCTGATCTAGGCTATTTGAAGCCTTTTTTTTTTTTTGAGCACATTAAGTCACAAGTAATTTTGTGGACTGATCTCTCAGTATTTACAACCAAGTAACAGTCAGCACAGAGGGAAATTCTCTTCCAAGTGCGTTAGTGATCCCACCTAATGTAACCAAGTTACAGAACAGGTGTCCTGCAGTTTAGAGGGGACATCAGATTAGCTGAGGGAATCCGCTTTACAGAGAACTGCATTTATTTTGCCCAGAGTTGGCTTTCAAAGCTGGGAAGCATTGCACTCCAGGAGAGGGAAACTCCAGGCAAGATCTCCCCACGGTGTCTGTTATGAGGACAAGATCTGTGTGGTGGTGGTTTGTGGTTTTTTTTTTTTAAATTAAAAATATATTCTAGTTCCAATCCCCCCTGAGACAGCTGCTCCACGCAACCTCATCGACAGGGGAATGGGAGGGAAACAACTTATCTCATGTACCCAGAGCACCCTCTGCCGTTTGCGCTTCCCCGCATCAATCCCAGTTGTCAGGGGAACCTCAGGGAAAAAGATCAACTATGCAAAACTCACCCTCTCTGGCAATAACATCAGCATCAATCACCGCACAGCCCAGTTCCCGGAGTACGGCCACCACTGTGCTCTTCCCCGATGCGATTCCACCCGAGAGTCCAACCAGGAACATTGTGCTCTGAAACAGAAAGAAAAGAACTTGAAAACACACCAGGACAGGGCCATTTTGTTCATGCTGTGCACATCAAATATTTATCGCAAACAGGCAACTTCCTTCAAAGCTCATTTTCATAGCTTCTCAGGGCATCACCAAGACATTAGCACAATTTTGGCACCCCTCTGAGCTGGGTACTCCTGTTTTACAGGTTGAAGAACAACTTGGGTTAAATGAGGCTTCTCTGGACCTGGCTAACTGGATGTGCAACTCAAGCCAGCCAGGTTACCTGCAGCTCCACGCAACTTGCTCCCCTTTAGCACCAGCACCCATCAAGCCACAGTCTTACCTACAGCACCCTAAATCAGAGGGAATTTCTGGCAGGGTTGTCAAGGGTGACCCAGGATCAGTGACAAAGGGAAAGAATTCAGATAACATCTCAGCCCAGACTGAGAAAGATGAGGAATGAGAAGGAGAGCCCTGCTTGATCTCTATAGCTGGGGTATAAGAGGAGATAAGCTACCTCTGACGTAATCAGGATGCAAACCACACAAGTCAGTAAGTAAATCACATCCCCACACTACATGGAAGCCAGCACAGTCACTGGCAGCCGGACGGACAGAAGAAATCATGGCTCTGAGCCGCAAATTTGCGTCCATTAGCTTGCAAACATAGCACTAAATGCAGAGTCTGTGCTTGCCGATAGCCTTGAGGCTGGGAGGGTGCCAGTAAGCCCCTCGGCCAACCTGGAGCAGACAACTACTCTCATAGTTTCTGCACCAAGATCTCTCTCCACTCAATCTAAACCCTGCAACCCTCTAAATCCTGCTTGTGCCATTCCAAAACTAAAGGGCTCAGTGACACAAAGGCAGCTCTGGACAGGAGCGGGACTCCTGTAAGCAAGGTGGTATCTGCATCCCCAAAAAGGCAACAACCACAGCAAGCTGGGAACAGACCCCAGTGTCCCTTCTCCAGCCCCTCTGGACCAGCCCTGTCCCCAGCCAAGAGCATCTAGGGGTTTGTGCGGCAGCATCCTGCAAATCCCCAAGGACAGAGCCCCCGACTTTGCTGTCATCTTGTCCAGGGTGACACCACCCTGACAGGCAAGGTGTCTGAACCTCTCAAGGCCCAGTTTGTGGCTGTTGCCCCTTGCATCTGAGAAGACACCAGCTCTGTCATCTTTGGCCAGGAGCCACAGGCTTCTGGTAGACACCCCTCAGCTTCCTCTTGTCCAGAAGAAGGGAGACCCAGCCCCTGCCACCTCTCCCAGTGAACCATGTCCCCCAAAACCCAACGATCTCGGTAACCATTGCTCTGCCTAACCTGGTTCTGGTGTGACTCTGGACATCCCAGCCACCAGCCCCAAGAAACTCTGCACATACAGGAACCTACTGCTCATACTGTCCCCCACAAACAGGGACCGCGTCTCTTTGCGCCCAAGGGCAGCAGTCAGGAACACAGGCCTGCAGGGCGGCTGAAGACACAGCACTGCTTTTTTGCTAGGAAAAAAAGACACTTTTGTCATAACTCGGTGCTACAAACAGGACACAGACCCATAGTCTTGGGGCAAGTAGGGGGTGGATAAGTTCTGTGGCAGCTGGAGGCAATTTAGCAGAGGGAGCAACCCAGAGTTAGAGCAAAAGCTGGCAACACCTGCCAGTAGTGTTGCAAAGCGACTTCACTTCACGGCTGCTGAGAGCCGAGGCTAGCCTGCAGCAGCAGCACCACATGCTCTTGTTGCCTTCCAAGACGCCATGCAAACAGATTGGGTTAATTCAAGCAACAAGGGGGAATTCAAAGGGAATCAGAAAGGGCACTTAGAATAAGCATCAGTGCTTTGCAGGAGGCTGACGTAAATCCCAAGCTTTGTTGCCAAGCGAGTACCTGGTCCCCACAGGGAGCCTTTCTCGGTGTTACGGTGGGCTCAGCACAACACATGGGTTGTTCCTCTATTTATCACAGCAGGTTAAAATCCTGCTCTCCCCAGTAAGACTTTTATATGCCCTGTGCAACAGCCTGCAAGGGCTAATGCTGCACAAGGAGAATCAGGCCTTCAGCGTGCTGCCTTGCAGGGCTGGAGGCTCCGCTTGTGTGTTTTTTAAAAATACACATAAAAAAACCTCTCCTGCCCACGTAGAGTAAATACAGGGTTTTACTGCAGTAACCCCGATGCTCTGACCTCCAGCCTCAGCTGGGACCTGCTCCCAAAAAATCCCTGCTATTTCTGTCCCTCCATTACACTCTTCTGCAGGCAGCTGCTGCAAGAATTATTGCAGGGGTAAAAGAGCACTTGGAAGGGTTACTCTAGAAACCATGGCCAAACAGGGTTTGAAAACACTTGTGCTGTCACAGGGCCTGTACAGATATAAGATCCACGGTATACGGTATAAATATTTAACGAGCTTGGGTTTGAACTGTACACAAGGGTAGAGAGTCCAACTCATTCTTGCAGATGTTATGGGCAGGAGCCAGAACCAGTTTTCCCCAAAATATGTGTATTTGGCCTGCGCCAACTAAATCAGACATGGAGAAAGCTGAAATGTGAGCCACAGACGCTGGTTATACCAGAAAACTCAGCAAATTATTCCCACTGTGAGGAATGGTGCCCTGGGAGATGTAACCCAGAACCCTGAAAAAGTGGCTTTTAAAGAGTGAGGTGCCCAAATTTTCCACGTCTCAACTCTTTTGGGTTTTCACCACAGCACAAGTTGCTCGCCCCAAGCCATCCATCCGGCATGCCACAGGGCTGAGGACAGAGCCAAAACACATCTTCCAGCGCCATGCTACACCCAGCCCTCCTCCTGCTCCCATCCTCAGCTCCGACTGAGGCCTGGCACATTGACAGACTTAGCGTTTGGCTTGAGGAGGCTGCAATTAAAAGGAAAAATCATAAAATACATCATTACCTTGATGGGGAAAAAGCCCCCACCACAACTGCCACCATGAACCATTCCCCAGGCCTTCTGGCTGGTATTGAATGAAGCCCCATGTGCTGATAGTTTCCACCAGACAGGGCCTTCACTGCAAAACGGCACTTTCCCGGTGATCCCGAGCCCAGCCCCGGGCCACGACCAC